CGTCACTTCCGGTTCGCAGCAGTGCTCTGGCGAGAGAGTTACGTAACCTGTCTGTGGCTTCGTTGGCGGCGAGAGTGAAGCAGACGGCTTTTGGCAACTTTTAATCTCTCGGGATGAATTAACCACAAGTTTTTAAGAATGAATTTGGTGTTCCGCCTAATACTAACCACAAGTATTTCATATGTAATGGTTAAAAGTGTACAAAAAAACAAAGTTTATTCGTTCAATATTGCTTGGATCAGTGTCGGACATGCCTTTGAGAATAATGATACAACCTAGCTTTGCTAGAATGCTCGAGAACTGTGTAAGAGCTATATAAAGGCCGGTTGTTGTGTTGTGACACACAGACTTATTACATGACTGGAGTTACACACATCTGTCTGCCGTCATATGCCTACTGTCGTCAAGTCTGTCTGTCAACATTTCAAGACCGTGCTTTTCTATTCAACTACTGTCATTGTAAAAACCCTTCAATCAGTATATCTGTTCTCACTGTAAATGTCAATACTCTGGTGAGTTAATATTTTATATTTGTGACCCAATATTTTACATTTGTGATTCAACTGCATTGTACTAGAAATCTGTCTTGTCATTCATTGTAGTTTGCTCATTGTTTGTTCAATATATTATTGAATATGTTAGACTTGTCTGTGTTCTATTTTGCTGGTTCAAAGGGGACTCTTAAACCTTTTGTCACGGCAAATTATTAACCGTAACAACATGCTTGGTCAAAGGACTAAAATTGCAAATATTATTGCGTCACAAATCCTTATGTGATGAAATAAGGACACATACAGTCCGTTTGATTTCATTTTAGATCGATGAACTGTTTACTAACACAAAATCTAATAATTGCAATAAAACCAAATTTTGCACAGTCACATGAAATCGACAGACCAACGGTGATGAATTGTCTCATAATTTTGGACTCCCGAATAAAAATGTTGTTTAACAAATGATCATTATTTTCTTGTTACCTTTTTTACGAGTGCAAGGGGCACTTGCTGGTAGTACAGCATAGTAATCAACGTCAAGGTGTAGTGAAACTTCAATTTTACAGGTGCAACTCGCACACCTGGCTGTTCTACCAGTACTCGTCTGTTGTGCACATGTATGCCTTGCCTACTGTGCTATATAGGCCCGATCAGTACATCTATCCTCACGTTCAGATTGTTGCTGTCAATAGATCTGCCCTCAATCAAGTGACACGCCCTCGAGACAATGTCGATCCTGAAACATTGAAAGATGGACAATGAAAAACAAACAGACACATTTGACATCTTATTAGCGTTGTCTTGTTAACCTGTCAATATTTCACTATACCTAATTGATATGATTGTAGTTTTGATAGCGAGTAAGTAATGATCGATAAGTAAAATAGTCCCTATATCAGCAGAAATTGTCAACCATATGAAAATGCTTGTGGTATAATGATAATATAAACATGTACGTGTGTCGAGGTTTCCTGTGTACAAACGTTTGCTGTCCCCACTAGAAAAGCCATGATTCATCTGCAAACAAAGACCTCATTCATCATTCCATATCCCGCTGTCATGTCCCACTGTGCTGGCTGCATGGATGTTGTCCCCTCCTCAACATGTTTCCCCTTCACCCGATCCGCCCCCTCCCAGTCGGGGACTTTCAAAGGATGCCATTTTCGTTGACGGACAGTGACATTTACCGCATATTGCAGCATATATTTCAAAGCAAATCCCGCTGACGCTTGTAATGGTGTATTCATAATTCCACATCTGACGAATGTGCAGCGGAAGTGCACCCTGTCTGATTCCCTCACGTGCAGTTGAACAGCTGCATATGTACATCTCAGCTTGCACGTGCGCACCAACTGCACGTGTACGTGGCGCCACAAGGTGGTTGATATGCTGGTCCTTGCGGGGCACTGCCGTGAAGTATTTGTAGTGACACAGGCGCTTCGAAGCCACCAAGAGTTCTGTGTTTTTGATGTTTGAAGTGTTTTCAAAGGTTTTTAGATATTATTTTCAATTCATTATTTTTCTTTTCCACACGTAAACAGTGAAAAGAGTTTTTTATGGTTTGCATTATTCTGTGAAAACTAATAAAACAACCAGGAGACACGATACGTCACAACCGTCATGATTCGGTTATTTATCCTTCTTTTGTAAAGGGGCGGTGGGGTAGCCCAGTGGTTAAAGCGTTCGCTCGTCACGCCGAAGACCCGGGTTCGATTTTCCACACGAGTACAATTCGTGAAGCCCATTTCTGGTGTCCCCCGCCGTGATATTGCTGGAATATGGCTGAAAGCGACGGAAAACCATACTCACTCACTCACTTCTTAAGTAAATATCAATCAGTATGTGTCAAGTCACACTTTTTACAGTTGGAATAAAAACATTACACACATACAGCTGTCCATATCACAGCTGACAAATCAAGATGGAAGCCACACATTACATGCATACAACTGCCAGTATTACATATTACACGTGTAATATATCTGACACAACTGGCTGTCAATCACACATCTCACACACCAAGTTGTCTACAACAAATCTCACACACACAATTGCCGATCACACAGCTTACACATGCGAGTTCCACATGTGTAATGGCTTAGAGATGAACATTACATCAGACCGTGTCTTCTGAGAGCAGCGACAACACCAATGATTGGGATTGAGGGGAATGTGAATGCTATGAGGCAACGAAATGAGATTTCGCAAATGGCAGCTTTATCGTTTTTGGATGAGAACGGCCCTGGAGTGACGTTTCAATGGGGTAACGCCAGACCACACTTTGCTCGAGTTGTTCAGCAGTATCAGGTGTGCTACCCTTGCCCTAAAGATCCCCAGATTTGTCACCCACTGCACCCCTCCTTGGAATCCTCCAGCCACGCTGCAGGATCTCCCCCAAAATCCTTCCACAGATACGGAGGTATCATACCCACGACTGTCATCGAGGAAACTGTTCTGAAAACAGTGTGGAGACCACCAGTTCCGTTACTTCCTGATACTGTCAGAGAGGGAAGCTGTTCTGGATGCAGTATAGAGACCACCAGTTCTATTACTTCCTGATACTGTTAGAGAGGGAAACTGTTCTTGATACAGTGTGGAGACCACCAGTTCCATTACTTCCTGATACTGTCAGAGAGGGAAACTGTTCTGGATACAGTGTAGAGACCACCAGTTCGATTACTTCCTGATACTGTCAGAGAGGGAAACTGTTCTGGACACAGTGTAGAGACCACCAGTTCCATTACTTCCTGATACTGTTACAGAGGGAAACTGTTCTGGATACAGTGTAGAGACCACCAGTTCCATTACTTCCTGATACTTTCAGAGAGGGAAACTGTTCTGGATACAGTGTAGAGACCACCAGTTCCATTACTTCCTGATAGTGTTACAGAGGGAAACTGTTCTGGATACAGTGTAGAGACCACCACTTCCATTACTTCCTGATACTGTCAGAGAGGGAAACTGTTCTTGATACAGTGTGGAGAACACCACTTCCATTACTTCCTGATAGTGTTACAGAGGGAAACTGTTCTGGATACAGTGTAGAGACCACCAGTTCTATTACTTCCTGATACTGTTACAGAGGGAAACTGTTCTGGATACAGTGTGGAGACCACCAGTTCCATTACTTCCTGATACTGTCAGAGAGGGAAACTGTTCTGGATACAGTGTGGAGAACACCAGTTCCATTACTTCCTGATAGTGTTACAGAGGGAAACTGTTCTGGATACAGTGTAGAGACCACCAGTTCTATTACTTCCTGATACTGTTAGAGAGGGAAACTGTTCTGGATGCAGTGTAGACACCACCAGTTCCATTACTTCCTGATACTGTCACAGAGAGAAACTGTTCTGGATACAGTGTAGAGACCACCAGTTCCGTTACTTCAAGATACTGTTACAGAGGGAAACTGTTCTGGATGCAGTGTAGAGACCACCAGTTCCATTACTTCCTGATACTGTTACAGGGGGAAACTGTTCTGGATACATGGTGGACACCAGAAATTCCAAGTTGTTCCTGATACTGTTATAGAGAGGAACTGTTCTGATATCAGTGCTCTGTGGAACATATGCGATGAGACCCAATGTTACAATATATAAATATAAAACTATCATTTATTGACCTTCCTCAGTGGTTCTAATGTCACCATATTTGTAGCACGAGTACACAATGCCATGTGGAAATTTATCAAATGTAGCACATGTTATACTTGGGATTACACACTAATTATAAAGAACAGATTTTAGTAGATTTTAGATTTGAGTCCCATCCGAGGAGTACAGATTCGTGTACTTAAGTTGGGTTGAGTCCCATCCGAGGAGTACAGATTCGTGTACTTAAGTTGGGTTGAGTCCCACCCCAACAAAAGTACAAAAACCCAAATAATATCCGTTAATTCACTATCTCAACCAGTTATGTCACGGTGGAGATTTACACCCTGTATACAATGGGTTGAAGACACTAGGCGATTTCTGAATCGCACGGTGTTACCTTAACGTAAACAACCCCCTGTTTGCATCCGGCAATTATACCAAACGTTTTATTGGACGGACCGAACTCTGCCTTTTGTACGTACCAGCGACTAAAGGGAAAGAACTCCACTATTTCACGCCACGTGTTTTAAACAGAAGCACAACCGATACAATTGCGCCGGACACGGTGTCCAATCATGTTTTACAGTTTGTCTTGACGTGCGACTCGAGGAGACGTTAGGTACAAGGTGTTGAGATCAAATAGCGACCAGTCAGTGACACACTTCGGTGGTATCGCGTCACGCAATCAACAACAGTTAGACTAGGGTATATATTTTACAGACTCTTCATTAGGGTTGTGATCAGCTCTTTCTTGGTAACGACCTGTTTGCATCATGATTTTTTTTCAAATCCACCTATCTGTATTTAGTTCCCTATCTGACGCAAGTCCGGTCTATATTTTCCCTCTGTGTACCTTCGTAATGTATTCCTTCCTGTTTACCGGCAGGCCGACAAGCAGGTCGCATGACGGTGACACACAGTCACATGATATGTATCATATGATATCTTGTCCTGATATGTGTGATTACTTTGATGCAAGACCAACTCGATATCTATATTACAACAATGTCTGATTAGGTCCAAGGTGCGCTGGCAGGAGTGGGAGATACACTGATCATTGTTGATTTGACAAGAAGCAGCACAGAAATAGATATTAGGAGGCGTATACTGGGTATAATAACCACCACCACCAACGTCTGAGACAACCCGGAACACCCTCCATCACCGTCTCAACACAACCCGGAACACCCTTCACAGTATTCTCGTGCAGCGATGGCAGGTTCGTGGCAGCACGGTCTGTTCGGCTGTTTCGACAACTTCGGAACTTGTATCATCACATACCTTGTACCCTGCTACACGTTCGGGAAGAACGCCGAGGCTGTTGGAGACAGCTGTCTCCTTTGTGGGGCGGTCTACTTTCTTCCGCCGATTAACCTGTTCGCTTTGCTGTCCGTCAGGGGGAAGATCAGGGAGAGGAAGGGTATAGACGGTACTGTCATCAACGACTGCTGCGCCATCGTGCTGTGCCACCCTTGTGCTCTGGTCCAGGAGGCTAACGAGATACAGTGCCCGGGGGGTCAGTTCATGGCTAGGTCCTAGTGTGCGCTACCCAAGAGGACATATGCTTGTACTTGAGGCAGTCTGTGTACTTACTTTGAGAAATGTGTAACTGATGTGAAGAGAGAGCGCTTGAAATGTGTAACTGGTGTCGAATAGATTCCTGTCACGTGACGTCGTTCAAGGCGGCAGCAGGTAACTACAGCAAGTGGATATCTACAAGAGTTGGAACCCCAGGGACTATATTTTGTTGAGGAATATCAAGCCAGTGAAACACTGCAATCTGCTGTGACCATGACAGTATTAGTGACTGGTGCACCGTTATTCATGGCTTTAAGACATTGTAACCCATCTATAACCCATGAGGCATCTGTATATATACAGTGTATATTGTGTATCTATATATAGGTCCATGCACTACTAGGCTAGATGCTGGTCGTTTCCTGGTGTGGTGACGCAGTATCTCCACCCATCACAGCAGATAGATGTAATGTTACACCAGCATGACCCACTTGATGTGCTCTTTGTCCCCAGACTATGTTATCACGAAATGATTCAAATACGTAATTCTAATCGACGTAACAAGTTGTTTATTTGTTTCCTCATTTGTGAATAAATACTGTTAACTGACAATATCGTTGTATCTGATAGACTTGTCTACTTCCGAGTGGTCAACTGTGTCACATCAAGTACTTCTAACAGTGAGACTCGCACAGTTCGTAACTACGAAAGCCTGATGCTGCCACTTTTGTATCCCAAAAAATCATTTCAGCGATCTTTGTCGTTGTTTCGATTACTTTGCCGGTCATGGGAGTATTTTCTCGTTATTTCAGACATTTTCTCGTTACTTGGATTATTTTCTCGTTGCTTTAAGTTTCTTTCAAAAACTTGAAGTAATGAAACAATACACGAAGCAACGAGAAATTAACCGAAGCAACGAAAAAATATTTGAAGCAATGAGAAAATGTTCGAAGCAACGAGAACTTTCGCTGACAAAAAGTACTGTATCCCACAAAAGTGTCAACATTAGGCTTTGTACGTCACAGTGCCTAGTAATTTTGTTGTGTTATTCCCTTTATAAATGCTAGGTTTGTTTCACTGGTAAGTGTAGCCCGTGAAGATCCGGGTTAGTACAAGCCTTTAGCAACACATGCTTGTTGTAAAGAGGGATGAACGGGATCGGGATCAATGACTTGGCTGATGCATGTCCTCGTATCCCAATTGCTTAGATGGATCTCAAGATGTATATCATTAGAATGTGTGGTCCAGAGTGGAGTATTAACAGTCAGCCATCATTGGAACATTGTTGAGTGCGGCGTTAAATAACAAACAGATACATGAAGTGTGTTATTAATTAACTTTATAAACCCTGGGTTTACTTCATTAATGTTGTGGGTGTGATATTCTTTTTATGAAACCGTGGTGAAGTTCATTAATGGACTAAGTGTTTTATTTCTATAATTAACACTAGATTGAGTTTACTGATGGTGTTAGTGTGTTCCCTTTATCAACACTAGGTGAAGTTTACTGATGATCCGAGTGTGTTGTGTTAATTTTACTTGCAATCTGTTAGTATTCGTGTGCAATAAACTTCGCAGTAACGGTGATTCATAAGAACGTTTACCAAATCTATATACTAACGGACAAAAGTAATTCTGCATAACATAAAATTGCATAGAATAAAAGTTATTTGAAAATAACCCTAAATAAACATGTAGTAAAGCACTCTGCATGAAATTTAATGTCACGTATCGAGCTTGGTACGTGCACTTTGTGCAGAATGAACGTACTCACTTTTTGCATGCTTTTTGACACCTGAAGTTCACACACCTGATGGAGGGCCCGTAAGTAGGTCACGACAATTCGCGAGATCTTACGTTATTTAGAACTTCCAGTGACAAACACCGGTTCATATCTTTCCGACTGGTCTCATGGTTGTCAATTGACAGTAAGGAACCGATAATCCTTGCAGGAATATCAAATTTCCGATCTAACCATCCCCAAATGAATCAACTGTTACGAAGTCAACAGCTGTGACAGCCAAGCATGGTTGTACACTTGGTTCGGTCTAGTAAAGTCATATTTGACGGTCGCGCAATTTGGAACCAGAACTGGTTCTTGGATATACGCTTGTCACCGGAAATCTTGTACCGGAAGTAAGCTGGGCCCCGTCTCCTATCTCGCAAGTTGGCGCGCTCAAAGGGATCCGGGAATCAGCTTAGTACCGGAAGTAACGCCTCGCGAGACTTACAGGCCCTATTGAAATTTGAAGAACGGTTGATTATTCTCTAGCCGCTGAATGTTGTGGAAAACACATTAATTTCAACCTACAGTGCGCGTAAGTCATGACACGGCTTACAGGTAGCATTGTCTCGGCGCCGTAGGTATGCTGGAGAGTGGTATGGCCGGAAAATGACTTGGTCAGACATTTTGTGTCCATCGAAACACGATCTCATCTCTATGGATATATTCAACATAATGGGAACACGAGAGATTTGCCTCGCACCGGCCGTCCTCGCGTGACGTCACGGCAGAAAGACAACCACATTTAGCTGACCCATCTAAGGAATCGACTCCAGACTGCCAGTTTCACTGCTCGGTTCATTCCTGGCATACAGCCAATCAGTTCCAGGACTTTACGGAATACACCTCAAATCATGTTATTATCTTTTTGCATTAAGAAATGTCATAACATCAAATAATGCACAGCTGCTGTATTCCAGTAGTTGGCATATAGAAACTGTTTGTAGTGCATTCACATACACGTGCTAACTCACATATGTATATACAAATAGAAATTCGTGTGTGTGCGGCACTCCGCTTATGTGACATGTCAAACTGATGTTAAGGCTGTGATTCTCAGTCTGGACGTGTATGTTAATGCACTGCAAACAGGTTTGATTGTTGTACGTGTGCTGGGACCATGTACATCTGCGTTTGATATACGCGCCGTGGGTATGCTACAAACAGGAATGGCGAAATATATGTTGGCCGACATTAAGCTTTCATCGAAACGCAATATCATCCCTGCTACGAGCTGGTAGCGACGTCGCTTCTACAAAGCAACCATATTCGTTTGGTGCATCTACGGAATCATGCAAACTGACACATTAACAGCACGGACAATCTGTTTTGAGACCATAAGTGGCAGAACCATACACAACCCAACTACTTCCACGTCACCGTAGAACACACCCACGTTGTTGTAGACGTTACCTGATGTTCACAAGCAGAACCTTGGACACTGGACACAAAGGACTCGCAGTGTCCTCGGAACAGCCCACAAGGTGGTCAGTCAGTGTTGAGTGGGAGTGTAATGGCATAGGGTGGCATCACAGCTCACGGAGACACATCTTCATCGCTTCCATGAAGACATCACAACTGCCAGTCACAAATAATATGTTGTGTCTTCAGTGTATCAACTTCTTTTACTTCTGTATGTTGTTCCGGTGAGTCCTGAAGGAGTAGTAACTCCCAAACGTCGCGTTAACAATAATTTTAAAGAAGTTTATATAAAACAAATATTTGACTCAATTGGAATGTTGTACACTGCCGCCTGTATCTACCAAGATGGGGGTTGCCAGTGAATGGGTTAAAATTGATCAGAAGATACCAAGTATTCGGATGCTGGTTTCAAAAACACCACTTTTGTGAAGCGGTTAGTTTGAGCCACCAGGATGTATTGATAATTAACCGGAAATAATTCGATTCATCTCTGAAACAGAAACATGATAACATGATCCCACATTATTAGAGCTATTGTTAGTAGCATGGTTTCGAAAGTCAGGCTATATGGAAACCCCGAGTCAATTGTAACCGATCCGTGAACTATCTACACAAGGAAATTGACATTAATGCCACATTTACTAATTGAACATGGACAGTGTATACCTCCTTAAACAAGTATAAATCTACACAACTTCACTGCACACTGTACCTTCTCCCTGTACAGTATACACCCCCACCCTACCCCGCCATGTACAGTATACTCCCACCTCACTTCACTGTACACTGTACCTCCACTTCCATCCCTGCCCTGTACAGTATACATTCATACCCACCAATGTACACTGTACCTCCATCTTCCTGCCCTGTACAGTATACGTCAACACCCATCACTGTACACTGTACCTCCATCTTCCTGTACAATATACATCCACACCCTTCACTGAACACTGTACCTCCATCTTCCTGTACAGTATACATCCACACCCTTCACTGTACACTGTACCTCCATCTTCCTGCCCTGTACAGTATACATCCACACCCATCACTGTACACTGTACCTCCATCTTACAGACCTGTACAGTTACATTCACACCCATCACTGTACACTGTACTTCCATCTTCCTGCCCTGTACAGTATACATCCACACCCATCACTGTACACTGTACCTCCATCTTCCTGCCCCGTATAGTATACATCCACACCCATCACTGTACTCTGTACCTCCATCTTACTGACCTGTACAGTTACATTCACACCCATCACTGTACTCTGTACCTCCATCTTACTGCCCTGTACAGTATACATCCACACTCACCAATGTACACTGTACTCTTCTACTGTACTCCAACACCCATCTTAGTGCCCTGTACAGTATACATCCACACCCATCACTGTACACTGTACCTCCATCTTACTGCCCTGTACAGTATACATCCACACCCATCACTGTACACTGTACCTCCATCTTACTGCCCTGTACAGTATACATCCACACCCATCACTGTACACTGTACCTCCATCTTACTGCCCTGTACAGTATACATCCACACCCATCACTGTACTCTGTACCTCCATCTTACATCCACACTCCTGTACAGTATACATCTTCCTGTACCCATCACTGTACACTGTACCTCCATCTTACTGCCCTGTACAGTATACATCCACACCCATCACTGTACACTGTACCTCCATCTTACTGCCCTCTACAGTATACATCCACACCCATCACTGTACACTGTACCTCCATCTTACTGACCTGTACAGTATACATCCACACCCATCACTGTACACTGTACCTCCATCTTCCTGTACAGTATACATCCACACCCATCACTGTACTCTGTACCTCCATCTTACTGCCCTGTACAGTATACATCCACACCCACCTGTACACTCACTCCTGTACACTGTACCTCCATCTTACTGCCCTGTACAGTATACATCCACACCCATCACTGTACACTGTACCTCCATCCTCCTGTACAGTATACATCCACACCCTTCACTGTACACTGTACCTCCATCTTCCTGTACAGTATACATCCACACCCATCACTGTACACTGTACCTCCATCTTCCTGTACAGTATACATCCACACCCATCACTGTACACTGTACCTCCATCCTCCTGTACAGTATACATCCACACCCATCACTGTACACTGTACCTCCATCTTACTGCCCTGTACAGTATACATCCACACCCTTCACTGTACACTGTACCTCCATCCTCCTGTACAGTATACATCCACACCCTTCACTGTACAATGTACCTCCATCTTACTGCCCTGTACAGTATACATCCACATCCTTCACTGTACACTGTACCTCCATCCTCCTGTACAGTATACATTCACACCCTTCACTGTACACTGTACCTCCATCTTACTGACCTGCACAG